TGCCAACACTACTAAACGCTCCCGCTGCCTATTTGGTTGTTCACGGAGAGCAAAATTTCTCAACTTTGTATTTATTTTTCTACAGCACTAAGTTTGCAATGACGAGGCCCTCCGGGCCTAAAATATAAAATTTATTTATTTTTCATTGTTTTGCACGCGATGCAAGTTAGACTTACAGGACAGAAATTTGCGCAATCAAGTCGTGAAAATCTCTTGTCGACCTGGGTAATGAATGCCCTCTCCCATTCTTCCGACAATTCGCCTCCTTCAAAAGACCTGTGACAGATGACAGATAGAGGTTTGCACAGTTCGAGAACCAGTTCTCGTACTGCGAGTGCATGCATTTTATCTGGCCAAATGATTTGGCAGGCTTAATGGGAAATGATTCCGCCCTGACTACGTCTTGTGAAAACTTGAGCTCTTCTATTTTGGGGAAGAGGAGGATAGGGATGGAGGTATCTGCTGACGAGCGGACGGGCCAGCAGCAAGATCATTAGGTTCTCGCGTGTAAACGGATTTGAAGACGTTGGAGAGAAGGATTCTTTCACCTGGTCGTCAGTTTCCGGTTGTCCGTCTGCAGATCTTAGGGCAGGGAGCAACTCCTGATACCTGTGGGTTACGTATGTAGCCATATAGTATTTTAGTGTGGTCCACAGACTTTCGTAGTATATTAAGCTCGTATTTCTTTTGCAGCTGAGTAGATTCACTTTTACAAATGTTTCATTGTTGCTTGTATTCCCGTTTTTGTTTTTCGCTCAATGTAACGCCTCTAAAATCAATTTCTTTATTGAAAGCGACCTATAAGTTTGCGTTTATATACTTTGGGCGGCTTGTATTTGTCTTCCGTCTGAGAGGACAGTTAGGGTGAACAAGTCACTTCAGTGTCGAGTCATTTGTTCCATCATAAAGTTCTGATTCCCAGGATACCTCTGACATTTCTATTCTGATCAGTGAATAGTCGCCCTTCCAAATGTTTCTCTCCCACTCATCGGACAAATAAGGTTTGGAAAACAGTGGGGACCTGAAGTACAGCATAATGTGGTCGCTTGACTTAATGGGGATATATCCCGCAGGTCAACCACATTTTAGTCCTCTCGGGTAAAAATATGGTCAAGACAGTTCGACTGTTGTCCTTTGTACGCTTGGAAATAGGATCTTCAATGATCACTTCGACGGTGAGGCCCAGCCGTCATCGTGACATGTTTTGGCCAGAGGGAATACCTCTTGACTTGGATTATTTGGCCGTCTTTGATGGTTAGTCCATTTTCCCTGCTACCAATTCTCTCCCTCAGTTCTATCATTAGTTCCTTCATTTCAGCCGCTCCATCAGTTACTTAAAGGCAGTGGTCAGCGTATTTGTATTGGAGACGCCAAATCAAAATGGAAAAAAACTTTACAAGTGGGGTTCCGCGGTGAGCTTTCTGGGTCCGTATCTGTTTCTGATATATGTGAACGAACTGATGTTAGCTGATGGTCTAAAGATATGTAATTCAGTCGAGAGATTGGCGGATGCAAAGCCGCTACAAAGTAAAAGGGATCGCTCACAAAAATGTTGTGATGAGGGGATGCTCAGCCTTGTTGCGGTCAAGGATAAACGATCTATTCAGCCACAAACACCAAAATTGCTCCGGCTAATAGAAGAAGGCAATCAGCTGTTGGGAGCGGTTTATTACGTACGCAAGGCAAATTGCCCGGGGTTGACTGGTTAAGGCTATTGGCGTCCCTTTTATCTTTGAATTATAATAAAAATAACTATCTTCACATTTCCTATAGCCCGACGTTTAATTTTTTCGTCGCCGGTGGAGCAGTCAAGGTCTCCCTTGAGTGAGGAACGCATGCTCAAGATTGTTATAACGATTGGTTCAGCGTCGCTATTGTTATAACGATGACATCTGACGTGTGTCACCGTCGAAATTTGGCCTTTTGAAATCATCAAGAAAGAACACAATTGGAAGGGCGTAACTTTTGGATCCACCGAGAGGAAGGTTTATTGTGTACAAATTCCGGAGAAGCTGTCTCGGGTGGCTGTTGCCGCTGGTTTGATCTCCAGCTTCTGGACAAGCCTGGCATTGGGAGCGGACTAGCGTCCTCGCGTCTGCTGTTGCAGCTCTCTGTATCCCGCCTCGGGGTAAGCCCGGCATTGGGAGCGGACTGGCGTCCGCTGTTCGGTGTGGCCGCAACCCTCTCTGTGTCAGAGGGACTGTGTCTAGTGCGCGTTTGCCTGTAGCCTGATTGGTGCATTGGGACGAGTGCGACCAGTGGCGCGCAGAGGTTAAGGTCATCTTGCGTTGACAGTCACGCCTGCATGCGGCCAGAGCTAACCAACAAATATATTTGGCTAGGCTCCACGCCTTAGGAAAGCCTCCAAACGTTGGTAGCGTTTGGTTCGGCTAATATCCTTACAAAGATGACCAGAGGGATGTGGTCCGTCCAATCTTCCGGATCACCAGCGGCGCGGAGGAAGACCTTCAGCTGGCGATTAAACCTCTTGACCATTCCATTGGCAGCCGGATGATAGGCGGCAATGCGGATGCGGGTACAGCCTAAAAAGGAGATGAGACAGGAAGATGCTAGACTCCGCGATCAGTCGTGATAGTAGTGCTTAAGATGGCAACCCAATGATTGAGGAAGGCCTTGACC